TTATTGCACAAAAAAGTAATGATTTTTGTTTTCTAGAGAAATTTATTTGACAGCACCGATTACCATAATGTCAACAGCAACTGAAGGTCATTTAAGTTTTCAATTAAAGGGAATTTAATGCGGGGGAGAGTAAAAAAAAAACAACATATAAAAAATATTAAATTTGTATGTTTTTCTTTTTAGCCATTAACACTTTTTTTGCGATCGCACACAAAACCCTAACTAAATAACAACAAATGAAGAAAAAACGTCATAAATAAAATTATAATTAAGGCCGCCAAAGGGCCTGCAGTTAAATAAAATTCAAACAAAATTAACTAACAGTTAAGAGAAAAAAATTTTTTTGACCAACACCATCATTAAAAAAGAGGTGAATATGGAGATACATGCTCACAATGGTTTAGCAAAACACTCCCCTTCTCACTTACTTATTGGTGGCACATAAATTTTACAATTTACACATTTAAAGAAAGAAAAAAATTCCTACAACAAAACATAACTGTGAAATGAACAACAACAAAAACTTAGCAAAAATCACACGGAAAGACAATTAGAAAGCCTGCAGTTAAATTTGACACAAATTAAAAAAAAAATAGAAATAAACAAAGACTGGAGACAAACAAAGCAGCAGCAGCAACAACAAAATATGTAAAAACTGAAATGGACCAACATTTAAATTGAAAAGGAGTAGAGGAGAAATGAGTTCTTGTGTTTACAATAAAGTTTTTGTTGTTATTCTCCCCCAAACACATAAAAAGGGCTATTTTCAGTTTTATATATTTTTTGTTTAGTGTCCTTTTTATTGTTGTTCTTAAAAGTGTATGTATGTGTGTGTTTGAAAAAAAATATATACTTTTTTAACAAATAAACAACACAACATTTAAAACGACAAAGTTGTTATTATGCAAATTTTTCATTCAGTTTTTTTTATTTTTTGTTTGTTATATTTTTCATATTCAAAGGTATTTTTTTAAAATATGCCAGAAAGAAAAAAATTTGGAGACAATAATCATAAAAAGGGGGAAGTAACATTATGAAATGTGACTAACTGTCAGACGGACTAGTGACAAAAAAAACGTTATGGTGCGTTCAAAAAATAAATAAAACAAAATGTTTAAACAAATAAATAAAAAGCACAATACTAAAAAAATACTTTAAGTCAGCAAAAATGTTAAATGTTTTTTTGTTCAGAATATGCGGGAACTAGTTTGCTGAACTGATGTTAAAAAAACTAGAGCAAAGACTTTTCTAAGGTATTGTTTAGCTTTAGACAATACACCAAAACTATTTTTCGGATTTCTGACCAATTTCCTATGTAGGAAAAATTAATATATTTTAATTACTGCATAGCGGATTGGAATGATTTACTTATTTGATATAAATCATACATGGGAGAAGTTAATTATATCGACTAATTAATTGACGATTTCATTAGCATTAAATTGAAAAAAATTATAATTATTTTTTTTTTCATTAGCATTATTTTCTCTAATGGTAATGCTTTTTAATGAAACGATTTCATTAGTAATTATTTAAAAATAAATTTTCATTACCATTATTCAATGGATTTTAAAAATTTTCGAACATTAGTTCGAATTTCGAAATTAATTTCGAATATCCGAACATTATAATGTATTTTCATTAGGTGAAATCATGTATGCCAAATTTCAGCACATTCAGACTAGAAGAACTAGTTTTAACAGCTTTAAAAATTTTTCGAACACAAGTTCGAATTTTCGAAATTTTTTTTTTAGGTTTTATGACACAGAGATTAATTTAAAAACATAAAAAAATTTTCGAAAATAACTTCGAATTTTCGAACTTAATTTCGAATATTCGAACATATTATTGTATTGTCATCAGATGTACTTATGACTACAAAATTTCAGCCAATTTGGGCCACGGGAACTGGTTTTAAAAGCTTTCAAACCTCGAATCTTCGAAAAATTTTCCTTAATATATTTTTCGACAATTATAAATACTAATTAAATTCGTTTTTGAAAATTCATTATCAAATCATTACCATTATCAAAAAAAGTTATAATGAAAAAAATATAATTTTCATTAAATGGTACTTAAAATATTTTTCATTACAATTTTTTCTATAAATGGTAATGAAATTTTAATGCTTAATGAAAAATTCCCATGTATGATATAAATGAATGCTTTTGAAATCTTGAATATACATACATACATAAATATCTTTATAAAGTTTACATGGCTTAGTCCTTCAATCAGACAATAGGATAAATAGAAGTGGCGGAAGGATATTCATTGTTCTGGTGGTTTAAACAAATTGTATGTAGTACCTTTTTAAGTGTGCTAGCTCCAAACTTTATATATGTATTTTTGTTATGTCCGATGAAAATGACGTAAAGTCAAATTTATATAAAAAGAAAGAAAGTCCTATTTATAAAAAAGTGACTTAAAGTGGCAGCAAAATTAGCACAGAAAGCAAAGTTTACATAAAGTTGCAAAACAAAAGAAATACACATAAAGAACAACTAGTTTTTAAGACTTTTCTTTTAAAAGAAAATTAAAAATATTAAAAGAAACTTAATATGAAATCATAGTGTTGTTGAAAGGCATCTTTATTTGGAAAAAGAGATAAAGTAAAATAGTCATAGTTTTGTATTAAATGTTTTAACATCTTGTCTAATCTTCCGCTAATACACAAAATTAAAATCACAAAAAATTTAGCCCTAAAATGGCTTAAATTAAAATAGAATGAATACACAGAGGAAAAAAATATACACGCTTGGTAACAAATTGACACCAAATTTTTTAATAACATGCGTTTTCAAGTATATACATACATACATACAACAACATCTAAACTTTATGCACATCCGTTGTCTAAAGTAATTAAGTCCAGTGTAAATGATTTAATCATTTAAATTATCATACATATAGGATCCTAATGGAATGAAAATTTAATAGAGTAAAATTTTTTGCCGTAACGGCAATGTACATATGCCAGAAAGCTATAGGAGGGTAAAAAATCCGAATTTTTAAAGCGGTTATCAAGCCAATTCTGTTCTATGGAACACTAAATATTAACTCAAACTGCGAACTCCTTGACAAGGTTCTAATGAGAATATCGATACTGAAAACCGGATATTGATTACTCATGCCCTTCAGTTTCATCATCAAGAATATCGATACTGAAAACCGGATATTGATTACTCATGCCCTTCAGTTTCGTCATCAAGGAAAATAGGGTAATGGAAGAAGATCGCTATCCACGAAGCCTGTCCGTGTACACGGATGATAAGATATAGAACAGAGATATCCTTATCTTTACCGACAGTTAAGCTTCAATGAAGTCCCTGACAGGTGTATACTCTATATCACGACTAGTCGGACATCCTTTAATAGGATGATGAGGCTGTCAAACATCGCACTTGTATGGGTACGAGGACACGGAGTCTATACAGGCAATTGTATCGCTGACGAGTTCGCGAAAACGGGTTCACAGTTACCTGACTCGGACATAGATCATTTCAGTGGTACTCCGATAGGAGTATGCAAAAGTCTCATAGATAACATGTTCTATGGACTCTCTCAGACAATATGGAGAAATGAGCCAACCTGTATTCAAACAAAGATATGGCCAAAGCTTGATAAGGAGCTTACGGACCATATTCTGAGGAATAGCCGATCCCAACTCAGCAAAATGATAGCTGTCATCACAGGGCATTGTAAATTTGGTAACCACGCAATGAAACTTGGATTACCTTACAATGACTACCATAAAAGCTGTCAAGATGAGAAAGAAGCTGTATGAACATCTTCTTTGTCACTATCCTGCTTTGGGGGACATTCGACTCCGATATCGGGGGCATAGATTTCTGGAGGACACTTCAGAGTTAACTGGGATTAGAATAGAAAACCTAAACGCCTTTATCAAGCATTGCGTTTAGTTTGACTTTAGAGTCCAAGGCTCTTTCCTTTTAGATTTTAATCACCAAAACGAACTACGTTTGCATCTATTGCAGCCTGAATAACCAACCAACCAAACTTTTTTGTACTTTTTCGTTTTTCAATTTGTATTTTTTGAATCTTTTCTAATATTAAACCTAGAAATATAGAATTTAACACGCTGCGTCCTGATTGAAGAAAATCTACAAATTGGGACTTTCTGGTACTTTTCCGTTTTCCAACTGGTATTTTTTGATTTACTGGTATACTTGAAATTACGTTTTTTCATACTCTTTTAAAAATGTTTAATAAAACAAATAAAGTAAAATTAGCGCAGGGTGTGTTATTTAAAACCAAACTACTAAATATAGTTTAAAGATCGAGTGAATATTTTAGTACTTTTTTAAAACAACAATTTTTCACAAGCACTTGAAAACAGATTTGTATCCTTTGACCTATATATTCGTCATATTTCCCAATTGATATGATAAAGATCAGAAAATGGAATTTGGTACTTTCTTATAAAGGTACTTTTTTGGTGTTTTTTATTAAAAAAAGTCAATCAAAGTACTACTTCACTTTTTATCAAATTCTAAAGTGTTTTTGTCTGTCTTTTTATTACATTAAACTTTACACTTTTAGTTTTCTACGACAACTTCAACTATAAGTTTTTAAAACTTTAACAATTTTCTCTTAAACTCTGTCACATATTGCCTTTAATATTATCAAAAGTTCATCTAAATCTATAAAATATTCAAATCACTCAACCTACGATTATCTATTTTCAAACACTTTGTACCCTTTTTTTCCTTCCATAAACAACATATTTTAAAATTCTAAAGAAACCTAAGGAAAATCAAATGAATACTTATTTTATTGTCCAATACCTATCAATTTCATTTGAAAACCCCAAATAAACAAAAACCATTGCAAAGGACAAATAAAATTATAAAATGTTTCTGTTAATAGATTTTTTTTTTTTCGAAGGGTCAATTGTAATTTTCTTGTTATTTTTTTATCTGTTTGTTTATTATCATTATTTTTACTGTAATACCAAGAAGAAATTATTTATAATTTACCTTGTACTCACTGGTAGCTAACATTTTAGTCCATTTTTCCTGCTTAAGCCGCATAGTCTTCATTATGTAATTCCATAAGAATTCCAGCCTTTCGTCCACCTTTTCCTTCTTTTTCTCCTCTTCGGCCATTACGCTAAATTAGTCGACGTTTATTGTCGTTTAAGTGAGTAACACGCTTACACAAATGTTATTTCTGCAGAAAAGAATATCCTTGAATCCTTGACAATTGTTGTTAAACGTTTAATATTCTTCGATAATTTGGTTTCTTTTCTCTCTCTTTTTTTCCTTTTATGGTTGAGCTTTAATCTCTTTGTGCGTAAAAAATATTAAGAGCAAAATCAAGGCGTTCAAAAATGTTTGTTATTGTTGCAAGTTAAGCGGCTTATGTGACAATAACTGCCAGCTTAATAGAAAAAAAATTAATAAAAATTTATTTAATATTTGTCTGCCAAAAAAAAAAAAGAAAACGTTATGAAACCTAGCAAAAGAAATCTCTGTTTAGAAAACTTACCAATTTTGGCATTCGTCTTTAGTAATGGCCAACACAAAAAAAACCCAATTTAATATTGGGATTTAAAGTGATTTCGGTTTTTTTGTATCCTTTTTAACCTGTTTTATTTTTTATATCTTTAGACAGTTAAGGATTTATTTAGCGTAAGAATAGCACTAAATGCGTCTATTTTTATATTGAATTATTTTTCTTTTGTAAAAGTGAAATTTTCTTAAATGTCACAGAAAATTAAATTTTTAATTTACCTAGATTTATTTATCAAGTTTTTTTTTTTAACAAAAAGTCTATTTTTAGATTGACATTTATATATTTGAAGTTTTTTGTTTAACAAATAGCAACAGGTTGTTTGCCAGTTAAGTGATAAACAAGTGGTTTGTTTTTTTCAAACAACCTGTTTTTAATTAAACAAGTTAGAGTGCTATATTCGGCTGAGCCGAATCTTAAATACCCTCCACCAGCAACTTTTGTATTAATACATTTCTAATTAATAAACTATTTGTAGAAATAAGTTTTCTCATGTCATAAATAGAAAAACCCAAGATTTAAACATCTTAAATCTACTACAATTCCAAGATTTATTGAACATTAGAAACGCCACTTCCTTTTAAATTTTTATAGCGCCCTAAGATATGCTTTAGCGATATCTAGTATTTGCATGTGTGTGAAAGATTTAAGGATTTTCAAAATACATACATATATATAATTTTGTTCTACACAAATTTATAATGCAAATAGTTAAATACGGTTAAAGCGCTTTTAGGGGCAGGACCTAGTATGAGAAATATGACCAAATATAGACCGATCGTGAAAAATTTTTGAAATAACATTAAGTGCTTTTTGCATTACAAAATAGTATTTATGAACAAAAATAGTATTTATTTATATCATTATTTGGTAATGAGTTATGTGCCTTTAAGTGTTTTTCTGAAAGGGACCTTGTATGGGAGCTATGATCAATTATGGATCGATAGGAAAACAACTTCACAGTAATATTTCTCTGTATATGAGCAATATTTCTGCCAAACTTTATATGGATATCTTAATTTAGTAATGAGTTATGCGCGTTTAAGTGATTTTCGGGAGGGGACCTTGTATGGGAGCTATGACCAATTATGGACCGATCGGAAAAAAATTTCACAATAATATTTCTGTGCATATGACAATACTTGTACCAAATTTTATATGGATATCTTAATTAAGTAATGAGTTATGAGCGTTTAAGTGATTTTCGGGAGGGCACCTTGTATGGGAGCTATGACCAATTATGGACCGATCGGAAAAAAATTTCACAGCAATATTTCTATGAATATGGGCAATACTTATACTAAATTGTATATGGATATCTTAATTTAGTAATGAGTTATGCGCGTTTAAGTGATTTTCGGGAGGGGACCTTGTATGGGAGCTATGACCAATTATGGACCGATCGGAAAAAAATTTCACGGTAATATTTCTATGTATGTGGCAATACTTGTACCAAATTTTATATGGATATCTTAATTTAGTTATGAGTTATGCGCGTTTAAGTGATTTTCGGGAGGGGACCTTGTATGGGAGCTATGACCAATTATGGACCGATCGGAAAAAAATTTCACGGTAATATTTCTATGCATGTGGGCAATACTTGTACCAAATTTTATATGGATATCTTAATTTAGTTATGAGTTATGCGCGTTTAAGTGATTTTCGGGAGGGGACCTTGTATGGGAGCTATGACCAATTATGGACCGATCGGAAAAAAATTTCACTGTAATATTTCTATGCATGTGGGCAATACTTGTACCAAATTTTATATGGATATCTTAATTAAGTAATGAGTTATGCGCGTTTAAATGATTTTCGGGAGGGGACCTTGTATGGGAGCTATGTCCAATTATGGACCGATCCATAAAATTTTTCTTCTGGAAGAATTCTATTGACATAAGATTTTAATTTGTGAAATTTTGTGAAGATATCGACATTGTAGAATTTGTACTTTTGTATGGGAGGTATATGAAATTGTGGACCGATTCTGGCAATTTTCAGCAGGGATCAAGATCTTGTGCAGAAACGAATATATGGTGATTTCCATGAAATTATCTTGCATAGTTTTCGAGAAAATTATATCATAATGTGTAAAAAATGCTTATTTTTTTCCGAGGTTGTTTTAAATTTTGATTCATAACTTTTCCCGGTGTGAACCGATTTTGCCCATTTGCAATACCAAACAACTTAGGAAAATGAAGAACATTTTGGGTGAATTTGGTTAAACTCTATTGCTTCGTTTTATCGTGAGCGTGTTTTACACAGACAGACGGACAGACGGACATAGCTAAATCGACTCAGAATTTGATAAGGACCCAGAATATATATACTTTGTTGGATCTCAGATGAATATTTCTTGGTGTTACACACGGAATGACAAAGTTATATATACCCTCTATCACCACTGATGGTGGTGGAGGGTATAAAAAGGAAATGAAAAATATTAAATTGTTGTTAAAATATTGTTTGTATTTTAAAAAACCTAAAAGGGTGTTACATGTATGTATTTTAAATTTAAAAAAGTAATGAATATTTTAAAATTTAATACGTTTTTAATAAAATTCATGATAGTGCTTTTCTTACAAAATTTTAAACTTTATTTCTTATTGTGTTTTTCACAGACAGTTATCACAGTTATAGTCTAGTCTATAGTCTAGTTTATAGTCTAGTCTATAGTCTAGTCTATAGTCTAGTCTATAGTCTAGTCTATAGTCTAGTCTATAGTCTAGTCTATAGTCTAGTCTATAGTCTAGTCTATAGTCTAGTCTATAGTCTAGTCTATAGTCTAGTCTATAGTCTAGTCTATAGTCTAGTCTATAGTCTAGTCTATAGTCTAGTCTATAGTCTAGTCTATAGTCTAGTCTATAGTCTAGTCTATAGTCTAGTCTATAGTCTAGTCTATAGTCTAGTCTATAGTCTAGTCTATAGTCTAGTCTATAGTCTAGTCTATAGTCTAGTCTATAGTCTAGTCTATAGTCTAGTCTATAGTCTAGTCTATAGTCTAGTCTATAGTCTAGTCTATAGTCTAGTCTATAGTCTAGTCTATAGTCTAGTCTATAGTCTAGTCTATAGTCTAGTCTATAGTCTAGTCTATAGTCTAGTCTATAGTCTAGTCTATAGTCTAGTCTATAGTCTAGTCTATAGTCTAGTCTATAGTCTAGTCTATAGTTTAGTCTATAGTCTAGTCTATAGTCTAGTCTATAGTCTAGTCTATAGTCTAGTCTATAGTCTAGTCTATAGTCTAGTCTATAGTCTAGTCTATAGTCTAGTCTATAGTCTAGTCTATAGTCTAGTCTATAGTCTAGTCTATAGTCTAGTCTATAGTCTAGTCTATAGTCTAGTCTATAGTCTAGTCTATAGTCTAGTCTAGTCTAGTCTATAGTCTAGTCTACAGTCTAGTCTATAGTCTAGTCTATAGTCTAGTCTATAGTCTAGTCTATAGTCTAGTCTATAGTCTAGTCTATAGTCTAGTCTATAGTCTAGTCTATAGTCTAGTCTATAGTCTAGTCTATAGTCTAGTCTATAGTCTAGTCTATAGTCTAGTCTACAGTCTAGTCTATAGTCTAGTCTATAGTTTAGTCTATAGTCTAGTCTATAGTCTAGTCTATAGTCTAGTCTATAGTCTAGTCTATAGTCTAGTCTATAGTCTAGTCTATAGTCTAGTCTATAGTCTAGTCTATAGTCTAGTCTATAGTCTAGTCTATAGTCTAGTCTATAGTCTATTCTAGTCTATAGTCTAGTCTATAGTCTAGTCTATAGTCTAGTCTATAGTCTAGTCTATAGTCTAGTCTATAGTCTAGTCTATAGTCTAGTCTATAGTCTAGTCTATAGTCTAGTCTATAGTCTAGTCTATAGTCCAGTCTAGTCTAGTCTATAGTCTAGTCTATAGTCTAGTCTATAGTCTAGTCTATAGTCTAGTCTATAGTCTAGTCTATAGTCTAGTCTATAGTCTAGTCTATAGTCTAGTCTATAGTCTAGTCTATAGTCTAGTCTATAGTCTAGTCTATAGTCTAGTCTATAGTCTAGTCTATAGTCTAGTCTATAGTCTAGTCTATAGTCTAGTCTATAGTCTAGTCTATAGTCTAGTCTATAGTCTAGTCTATAGTCTAGTCTATAGTCTAGTCTATAGTCTAGTCTATAGTCTAGTCTATAGTCTAGTCTATAGTCTAGTCTATAGTCTAGTCTATAGTCTAGTCTATAGTCTAGTCTATAGTCTAGTCTATAGTCTAGTCTATAGTCTAGTCTATAGTCTAGTCTATAGTCTAGTCTATAGTCTAGTCTATAGTCTAGTCTATAGTCTAGTCTATAGTCTAGTCTATAGTCTAGTCTATAGTCTAATCTATAGTCTAGTCTATAGTCTAGTCTATAGTCTAGTCTATAGTCTAGTCTATAGTCTAGTCTATAGTCTAGTCTATAGTCTAGTCTATAGTCTAGTCTATAGTCTAGTCTATAGTCTAGTCTATAGTCTAATCTATAGTATAGTCTAGTCTATAGTCTAGTCTATAGTCTAGTCTATAGTCTAGTCTATAGTCTAGTCTATAGTCTAGTCTATAGTCTAGTCTATAGTCTAGTCTATAGTCTAGTCTATAGTCTAGTCTATAGTCTAGTCTATAGTCTAGTCTATAGTCTAGTCTATAGTCTAGTCTATAGTCTAGTCTATAGTCTAGTCTATAGTCTAGTCTATAGTCTAGTCTATAGTCTAGTCTATAGTCTAGTCTATAGTCTAGTCTATAGTCTAGTCTATAGTCTAGTCTATAGTCTAGTCTATAGTCTAGTCTATAGTCTAGTCTATAGTCTAGTCTATAGTCTAGTCTATAGTCTAGTCTATAGTCTAGTCTATAGTCTAGTCTATAGTCTAGTCTATAGTCTAGTCTATAGTCTAGTCTATAGTCTAGTCTATAGTCTAGTCTATAGTCTAGTCTATAGTCTAGTCTATAGTCTAGTCTATAGTCTAGTCTATAGTCTAGTCTATAGTCTAGTCTATAGTCTAGTATATAGTCTAGTCTATAGTCTATAGTCTAGTCTAGTCTAGTCTATAGTCTAGTCTATAGTCTAGTCTATAGTCTAGTCTATAGTCTAGTCTATAGTCTAGTCTATAGTCTAGTCTATAGTCTAGTCTATAGTCTAGTCTATAGTCTAGTCTATAGTCTAGTCTATAGTCTAGTCTATAGTCTAGTCTATAGTCTAGTCTATAGTCTAGTCTATAGTCTAGTCTATAGTCTAGTCTATAGTCTAGTCTATAGTCTAGTCTATAGTCTAGTCTATAGTCTAGTCTATAGTCTAGTCTATAGTCTAGTCTATAGTCTAGTCTATAGTCTAGTCTATAGTCTAGTCTATAGTCTAGTCTATAGTCTAGTCTATAGTCTAGTCTATAGTCTAGTCTATAGTCTAGTCTATAGTCTAGTCTATAGTCTAGTCTATAGTCTAGTCTATAGTCTAGTCTATAGTCTAGTCTATAGTCTAGTCTATAGTCTAGTCTATAGTCTAGTCTATAGTCTAGTCTATAGTCTAGTCTATCGTCTAGTCTATAGTCTAGTCTATAGTCTAGTCTATAGTCTAGTCTATAGTCTAGTCTATAGTCTAGTCTATAGTCTAGTCTATAGTCTAGTCTATAGTCTAGTCTATAGTCTAGTCTATAGTCTAGTCTATAGTCTAGTCTATTCTAGTCTGTCTATAGTCTAGTCTATAGTCTAGGTCTATATTGTCTATAGTCAGTCTATAGTCTAGTCTATAGTCTAGTCTATAGTCTAGTCTATAGTCTAGTCTATAGTCTAGTCTATAAGTCTAGTCTATAGTCTAGTCTATAGTCTAGTCTATAGTCTAGTCTATAGTCTAGTCTATAGTCTAGTCTATAGTCTAGTCTATAGTCTAGTCTATAGTCTAGTCTATAGTCTAGTCTATAGTCTAGTCTATAGTCTAGTCTATAGTCTAGTCTATAGTCTAGTCTATAAGTCTAGTCTATAGTCTAGTCTATAGTCTAGTCTATAGTCTAGTCTATAGTCTAGTCTATAGTCTAGTCTATAGTCTAGTCTATAGTCTAGTATATAGTCTGGTCTATAATCTAGTCTATATCTAGTCTATAGTCTAGTCTATAGTCTAGTCTATAGTCTAGTCTATAGTCTAGTCTATAGTCTAGTCTATAGTCTAGTCTATAGTCTAGTCTATAGTCTAGTCTATAGTCTAGTCTATAGTCTAGTCTATAGTCTAGTCTAGTCTATAGTCTAGTCTATAGTCTAGTCTATAGCCTAGTCTATAGTCTAGTCTATAGCCTAGTCTATAGTCTAGTCTATAGTCTAGTCTATAGTCTAGTCTATAGTCTAGTCTATATTCTAGTCTATAGTCTAGTCTATAGTCTAGTCTATAGTCTAGTCCATAGTCTAGTCTATAGTCTAGTAGTCTAGTCTATAGTTTAGTCTAGTCTATAGTCTAAGTCTGGTTAAAAACACGAATTTTGAACTCGGTTATCACGTTGCACATAGAAATACCATGTTTGTGTTAGCAATGTTATTTTTGGAAAACAATTAAAATGTTGCAATCATATTTTTTTTATTTAACTAAACAATTTTGGAAATTCCAAGAAAGGCATACGTATTTAACGTTATTTCTTTGCTTTAAATTTATGCAATAAATTCCTCGTTTTACTCCTTAAAGCTTTAATCCTCTTCCCTTTTATAGCCTTCGTAGTTGTGCCATCTATAGATGTTTTAACCGCACTATGATTACTTGCATCTTTTTTAAATTTCGATTTCTTTTTATTGCTTTTTTCGAACTAGCAATTGGATTTTTGCTAAAACTACCTTGAATCTTTTTGCTCGACTTTAAAATATTTGATGGCATTTTCTTTACTTGATGATGATGATTTGCTCTTGCTGCTGCTTTCTGTGTTTTAAGACTTAAATGATTAGACTTTGTAAGTCTTTTAGCATGTTTAGTACTTAATTTGGCCAGTTTTGTTTTCGATTTAATATTGTTGAGTCCAAATGCTTTAGCTGCTTCTACTACAGAATCAAAATTACCAAATATTTTCATGATACTCTTATTTACATACTGCAGATATTGCAGGGACGAGAGGCAAATGTTACAGTTATTGCTGGCATTATAGTTGGTGCGTATAAGACTTTCTAGATAGAGGAAATTTTTGGCCATATTTTCACAATGTGGACATTTGCAAATGGTTTGTTTGAAATTATTGGAAGAATTTTCCAAAGGTTCTTCGGTTTTATATAAATCGAATTTCGGTTCTATGTTTGTTTTTGAATTTTGTGGTACCGTGTAGAACGGATTTGCTGATACCTCTTCGCCCAGACCAATCATTTTATTTAACACTGAAATTTTGTTATTTAAATTATCTCTCATATTTTTTGGTTGTTTTTTTAAAATAATTTTTCTGGTTTTATTTTTAGTACAAATTTGATTAATAGTTCAAAGTTGTTTTTTTTTTTTGTTAAATAAAAAGGCTTTCTTTACAAGGTTTGTAAAATAATTTTTTCGGAATTTTTCTATAGCCTTCACCTTCGTGGGAGGATATATGTAAGTTTCCCATTGCCTTTGTATGTTCCACTTGCTTATATGTATCCTTATAAGTATCGGAAATTAATTTTCTGAAGATCCCAGATATCTTCGGTACACAAATAATTAAAATCAGCAAACTTGGCCCATAGTTTATATGATTTCCTCTTCAAGTAAACGGATTTACATACATACATATGTATATGTAACATCCTGTAATTGAAATCTCGTCCCTTAAAAATGTTTATGGTTTGCCCGAAATTGTCTTGTAAGTTTACTATTCATTCAAATTTTATTGCGTTTTATAAACTATCTACATACCCAATGTATTTTTTTCTAAGCTCTTCTCCCGTTGTCTCCATCAACAGTTTTTCAAATGAACAGTGTGTGTTTTAGTAATTCTCATGTGCATAAAAGTGGTTGTGAGTTGACAAGCGATGACGTGAAAATGTAATTGCCTTCATCAGGTTTGAACTTTCCAACAACCGCACAGAAATAGATAATGTTCACTCATACTCATGTGACAATGAAACCAGCAGTTTTGTTTTGGTTACTATAAGCGGTTTAAGACATAATTTTCACTTAACTATTTTTGGTTTAGTTTTTCAAAATATGTTTGTAAATTTATAAAGGAAAACTAAAACTAATTACTTGATGTATTCCTGGTAATCTAAGAAGTAATTTGCAGTCTTATTAGTGTCTCTTCAGCTCTGCCGGATACTTATAAATAACTGCAACTGTGGATATTTGAGTAATTATATTTGTTTTTTTTTTTATATACATACATATAACAGTATTAGTAATACTCTAAATATGGGAATGTGTGTTATTGTATATAACAGTTATAAATCTCTAAGGAGGAGTGTGTATGAGCAGCCAGCAATCATTTAAATAGTATTTTATCTTTATTTCAGATTTTTTTCTCAAACATTTTCTATTTGCATGTTCTGCTCAATTAATCTTTGGTTCCATTTTCATTTCCTCTTCAATGTTCATGTCTTTCTCTATTTCATTACTATTCGTTTCATTTTGTTTTCCAGTTTATTCTCTCTTTTTATTTCTAGTTTTCATTTCATTAATGTTTAATAGTTTGTTAAACATGGGTGGTGTTAGTGGTGTATCATCATCACATCCTCATCACGATGAGGATACCAAACATTTAAATATTGTTCAACAAAATTAAATGTTGCAAAGTTTTTTTGCTGTAGTTGCTCATACATTTTTACCACACAAAAAAATCTACTTTTTCATTTATTTAACAACAATGCATTGTTACAATTGAATGACCTTTTCAACCATTTGAATGCCATTGATCTAGATTTATTTTGTAAATTTAACTATTGAAAAATTACATCAAGAAATGCATTGTAAAATGCTTGGTTTAGAAATCTAAGGGTATTGCTATTTTGTATATAAAATGCTAATTATTTATTTGATTTTGTGGTTTGCAAAATTAGATAAGAGAAAATAAATTAAGTACACACACATATATAGATAGTTGGAGTATTTAATAGAAGGTAATATATAAAGAATATCTGGAAATGAGTGAATGAGTTTGGTTTATTAAGATTTAGATTAAATTTAATTGAATGAAACCACCCAGTGATATATTGTCCAATTTTAGTAAGGAGTAATGTAGGTAATGTAGTCAGTTATTTCATAGATTACTTGGTAATGAGAGGTCGTTGTCTAATAAGGAAGAAATTTTGGTGGTTCTAACCCCAGTCGATATTATAAGTGTTTTTTAAGTAAATCAGCATTGAGAAAGGGAACTAATAATAAGTGTTAATACCACTTTCAAACTAACTAACTAACTAACTAACTAACTAACTAACTAACTAACTAACTAACTAACTAACTAACTAACTAACTAACTAACTAACTAACTAACTAACTAACTAACTAACTAACTAACTAACTAACTAACTAACTAACTAACTAACTAACTAACTAACTAACTAACTAACTAACTACTAACTAACTAACTAACTAACTAACTAACTAACTAACTAACTAACTAACTAACTAACTAACTAACTACTAACTACACTAACTAACTAACTAACTAACTAACTAACTAACTAACTAACTAACTACTAACTAACTAACTAACTAACTAACTACTAACTACTAACTAACTAACGAACTAACTAACTAACTAACTACACTACTAAACTACTAACTAACTAACTAACTAACTAACTAACTAACTAACTAACTAACTAACTAACTACTAACTAACACTAACTAACTAACTAACTAACTAACTAGACTAACTAACTACTAACTAACTAACTAACTAACTAACTAACTAACTAACCTAACTACTAACTAACTAAACTAACTAACTAACTAACTAACTAACTAACTAACTACTACTAACTAACTAACTAACTAACTAACTACTAACTAACTACTAACTAACTAACTACTAACGAACTAACAGCTAACTAACTAACTAACTAACTAACTACTAACTAACTAACTAACTAACTACTAACTACACTAACTAACTAACTACTAACTAACTAACTAACTAACTAACTACTAACTAACTTAACTAACTAACTAACTAACTAACTAACTAACTAACTAACTAACTAACTAACTAACTAACTAACTAACTAACTAACTAACTACTAACTACTAACTAACTAACTAACTACTAACTAACTAACTACTACTAACTAACTAACTAACTAACTAACTAACTAACTAAACTAACTAACTAACTAACTAACTAACTAACTACTAACTAACTAACTAACTACTACTAACTAACTAAACTAACTAACTAACTAACTAACTAACTACTAACTAACTAACTAACTAACTAACTAACTAACTAACTACTAACTAACTAACTAACTAACTAACTAACTAACTAACTAACTAACTAACTAACTAACTAACTAACTAACTAACTAACTAACTACTAACTACTAACTAACTAACTAACTAACTAACTAACTACTAACTAACTGACTAACTAACTAACTAACTAACTAACTAACTAACTAACTAACTAACTATTCGACTTATGCATTGAAGCTTTTTCTTATAATGGAAACCACAAAGACACACTCATTCCTTTCCATTCTCGAGATAACCTAATAAGATAAGATTGCTTTTAAGCTAAGTAATGTCCATATGTATGTACGTATGTTTTACAACTCCTTACGATGTCCACATTAGATACGCTTATTCGGCATACATAATTATTATTGTTTAATCTTTAATTACAACATTCGATACGCTTTCACTCTTAAATATCTAAAAGAAAAGCCAAGAAGAAAAAAAATCTAATTAGGAAATAGAAGTGCTTAACCTAAATAATTTTATTTTCTTTTCTTACTACTAAAACTAGTCTTTAAATTAAAACATTTTCAATCACACTTAATAACTTCTGTCATGATTTATGTCCATTTTATGAGGGGGGTGTTGAAGCATTTACCCAAATAATAAATATACAAAAAAAGAAAGGAAAAAAATGCCAGACCTTCAATTATATTCAATTTGTATTAATTTGTAAAGGGAACACACAAAAGCACTATAAACTCATTTTACCATAATTTACTTAAGCTGTTCCTGTTCTCTTTCCCCTCTTTTATTCATATAATATAATATGTGTGTCCAAATCTCAGTTCTCTGTAGAAAAAAAATATAAATAAATAAAAACAAATCAATGTTAATTTGTCGTGCGTCCAAAATGTGTTGAACTCCTTAGTTGTTGTTTGTAGGTCATTTAAGTTCCGGTAACAATTTTCCCAGTGTGTGCTGTCCATATGTGCTGTTGTTGTTATTTCGCTTTTTTCTTTTTATTTTCGCCATTTCCTTTTACTTAAGACCATTGATTAGTCGTCTGTTTGTAGGGGATTTTTTTTTCAAGAAAGCAACAAAAATTCATTGATAAATGTGGGTTACAACAATTTATATGACCAAAAAATATCCGTTTACCATCTAAGAACGAACTATTAGAAAAACCTTGGCCTAGTAAACTACTTGCCAGGAATTTAAACGTTTACAAATACTTACTGCTTTTTAGGTTTTTTATACAAGTTTCTTAAAAAACGTTTCGAATTCTTAAGGTATTTGTTTGGTTACTGAAAGCTAAAACGAATTAGTGGTTTGTTTTTTGTGACCCCGTTGTATCTTAGATATTTCTATTTACTGTAATTTGGTATTGATGACCTACAATTATGTTGTGGTTTTCATTTAGATTATTGCTTGATTTACAAATTGATCTATATTAGGGCCAAGAAACAGATGAAGTATGCGAAAAGTATTTGTTGAAAGGGGCGTTTTGTTTAATGAATTATAAAAAGTTAAGAAATATTTAAAATTTTTTTGAGAAGTTTTTTAGTTTTACTCTATGTTTAAATGATTTTTTTGTTCTTAGGGTAAAAATATTTATACCCTACACCACTATAGTGGGGAGGGTATTATGCGTTTGTGCTGATGTTTGTAACACCCAAAAATATTGGTCCTACCCCCACCTTAAAGTATACCAATCGACTCAGAATCACTTCCTGAGTCGATTAAGCTATGTCCGTCTGTCCGTCCGTCCGTCCGTCTGTCTGTCTGTGTGTCCATGTAAACCTTGTGCGCACTCTACAGGTCGCAATTTTTGAGATAATTTGATGAAATTTGGAACATACACTTCTCTTGGTCCAAGGACGAACGCTATTGAAAATGGTTGAAATCGGTCCATTATTTCACCTAGCCCCCATACAACCGGACCCCCCGAATAGGGCTTTTGACCTCATAATTATGTTAAATGATCTGCTATCTCTACAAAAATTGGAAAAGTTTAGTTTTATATATGTCTTAATAATTCTAGTGATTTTCGTAAAGATCGGGCATTATTTGACCCTAGCCCCCATACAAAGTCCCCCTCAGAAAATG